TCACATAAGATACAACGGAGAGTTCTTAGTTCATTTGATCTATTATCGCTTCGGTAAACACCTTTAAATAGATAAGGCTCTTCAATTGTCTCGCTCAACAGAAAGGTACACAAAAGAATGACCATGTTTACTAAAGCACGTTTGAGATAAAATCTCGTTCACGTGACATGAAGTTTGCATTATAAGCATACAAGGTCTCATACACGCCAACAAGCATTGCGAGACTACAAAATGGCGGTGCCCTGTCGCCGAATGTAAACAAACCGCGCGATTGCATAAACGCTTATCTATGGCATGGAACACCAAAATCCGATAAATAATTTTAGAAAATGTGTTTCTCCGGAAGAAAACCGGAGGTATTCAGGATTTTTTAGAAATATCCGGATATATCTGGAAGACTTTCATTATTATTATTATTATTATTATTATTATTATAAGTCACTAATATGTCAAAATTAGAAATTTAGGTTAGATCATGTAAGATAATAAAAATTCTTCACAAGGTGTACTCATGCATTATGTAATTCGATACAGTAATGCGAGCTGCACATTTGCCAAGTGATTTACAACTTGTGTGGCAAGATTAGTTAAGACACTTTTGTCACTAAAAGAATAAATTTAAGTACAAATAGATGTATAATGTTACAAGACTTATGCTATTTAGGACAAACAATTGTGGTTTCCTGATACACTTTAGTCACTCTAGAAAGAAAAAGGGTAATTTAGATTTCCTAATTTTTTATGGTGATTGCGAGATTCGTCAAATTGACCATATGGGTGAAGAATTACGGATGGAAAAAATAACAGATAAAAAATGTGATTTATTTAGGAGGTTTTAGAGATTATTCAAATGAAATTTGATGAAGAAAAGTACTTTTAAATCATAATATGACAATCACTTTTCACTCAAGAGCAGACACTCAGATTCCATATATTTACTGACAAAATTTTAATAAAAATACTCAATTAAAAATTCAGATTTTTTTCTACAAAAGACTTGTAATATTTACTGAAAACTTGTGAAATTTTATATAGATACATTAAGTACTTTCGAGTCATAGTATGTATACTTTCATGGCTTCATGTTGGTTATAAGGTTATGTAAAATACAGGAGCCTGTTGCAAAATAATTAGACATTTAAATAAGCAAAGCTGAAAAACAACATATAACTTAAAGTTCCATGGGACATACATAAATTCAAAATAAGTAATTTCAAAGAGTTAAAATTATTCAATAAAGATTTTTGAGAATGTAATAATTAGATACTGTCATAAAAAATAGCACTAAAATTAACCATATTAAAAATAAGCATAACATTCTACCACAGCATTCAAAATGCACATACCATATTCTATCAACAATTAAATAAAATAATTGGAAAATTTATGAAAACAGACATTTTAAAGAAAAGCAGACCATAGGCAACATCAACACTTCAATTTAAGGTACGATATTGACTCAGAAATTCAGCAAAAATTATCAGATCAAGTATTAAGAAAATTAATAACAAAACCATCTCTACAAGTCAAAGAACTATATAATTGGATTATTCAAAATTAAAATACTACACTTGAATTTCCAATAATCTTACAAAAAATTAATTCAGCGAGAACAACATTTTTACACATATCACTAATAACAGTTAAAATCAACATTTCAAAAGTAGCATTCCAGTGTTTTCTTACCTACTTCCTTTACTACAAGAGAAATCAGACCATCATCAACAAATACTTTGTTGCCAGGGACTACAACTTTGGTAATGTTCTTGTAATCAACATACAGCACATCCTTTGAGCACTTTTCCTTCATGCTATCATCAGTTGTAACTTTGATGACATCGTTTTTCACAAGTTCTATTTCAGCTGTAGGACCCTACAATTTGAAGAAAAAAATTTAATCTGGTGGTTTTGTTTTTCAATAATTAAATTACCTTAAAATATTTTAAACTTTTTATCACCAGTTTGTAATAGAAACCTATTATAATTTTAGTCTACATCTAACACTTGCACAGATTCTTAGTATCCCCAAATCAATAAATAAAAAAACAGATTCAATAAATCAACATATCTTAATACGTTAAAGTCAGAGGCCAGTAATACGTTATCAAATCAGCATCTAGGTAAGATCTGTGCTAACATTTGCTATCCTATGTACTGAATCTATCTTTTTCAAAAATGGATAATAAGAACATCTAACAAGTGTCATTCAATATATAGTCAATTTTCAAAAGTCTTAAAAATACTGACATTATTAATTATTACATGCTAATGTGTACATGTGAAATTACTAAAGTTTCTGCAAAAATTTGACTTAATAGTAATTATGTATGATATAAATACAGTTCGTGTTTTGTCTATTTTATATATATCTTAATATGCAAAAAGTGCATTTAAAACATCGAAACTTTGGTATATGCATCTCTTCAGCATAAAAACAATTTAGTCAACAACAACATTGGGCTAAAAAAAAAAGAAAACTTACACTAGATTTTAAAACGAAATCAAAGATACCCAAGTTCTTATGAAATAGCTATGTTTTCTATCAAAGAAACAGCTTTCAGCATTACAATTTTCTATTTCCAAGTTGTTTTACTTTATGATGTATTTTCAAATTCTCAGATTATAAAGAGTGCTAATGACAAAAAAAAAAATCCTATCCATATTCTTCCAATTGGGTTCATAAACACCATTTTCATGTTTAATTCTAAAAGACATGAACCAATAAAGAATAATATTAATATAAAAATTATAATTATATAACTTACACCCTCCAAGAGTCCTGTTCGAATTTCAGGACCTTTCGTATCCAAGGCAATAGCTATACAAAATGGCATATTAGTCTCTTGGTTGACAATTTTTACTGCTTCTCGTACATTTTGGATGGTCTCTCCATGATACTGAGATATAAAAGAATGTATTATTGTTTTATATAGGAAATTGGGATCTTAAAAATATTAAGCTATATTGTTGTACTCATTCCTAGAACAAGCGCAGATAGCCCTCATGTAGCTTTGCGCGAAATTCAAAAACAAACATTACTAAAACATGAAATTTTTAGCTCCACTGTTTCACAATTTAAATGCAAGTTAGTTATATGATTACGTTGCATTGCAATAATTATTAAGCACAATTTTTTTATTGATAATACTTTAACGCATTGCCTTTTTGTACAAATGTTATATCTAATTTTGAGCTGAAGAATGATACCATCAGTGAAAAGCTCCAAAACAAGTTATGTGATTCGCATTATTCATAAATGTACAGAATAAGAGTAAATGTAATTCATTTTATACATATCTAAGCTTTCAGTGTTTAAACACCTATGCTCTACCCATATGTTGAAATATGCTAATGTTTAAAAATTTTACATTGGTAAAAAGGCTAACTGTGTTGATCTCTCTTGGTTCTCTCATTATTATATTACACATTACGTATAATTCTTAGTTTCCAACACTTAATATTACTTAAGAATTACGTACAATTTACACATTTCTTAATTACAAAAAATAGTGTATGCAAATACAGATGTTGAGTGCATTATATAAAAATTATTTTGGAGCCCCACCACATCAGATAATTTTAAATCTGATGACCATGATTCTTGACTATTGCCCTACAGCATAGTTTCCATTGCAAAAGGATCCAATGTAAAGCCAACATGTCTCAAACACACTACTCCTCTCCTACCTTGATTGCTTTTCATAATCCATCTAGTGACCATTAAAACATTCTGATCTCTGAGAAATACATAGGCAGTACATTCACCAAGTCGACCATTATGCCTTTGTATGGAATATGCATGAATATCAGTTTATTCTCCGACTGTTTGATTGTGATGATTGAACAGGCATGTTGGGAAGAAACTTTTGTCACTTTTCTAAACAAAGATTCTTCTTGATTATGGTGTGTACAGCTGCCAATAACATGTGGACAACTACTGCCAGTGACCTTTGTACTTCTGGATTCACACCTGTTACAAAACACTGCACTTTGTTAGCATGGCTGGGATACAACTTGTTGAAAGTTATTTCTGGATGGTCTTGATTTCTTATGTCGATTCATGTTCCTTTGTTTTCCAATGCCATTAAGTACAAGAGATATCCTATTTGGGAAATTTTAAATTTCTCATCTAAACATATCTATGATCTGAGTGTATGAATATTATTTCAAAACGAACTCTTTGGAAAGTAATATTTTTGAGGCCATCACAATACCTATGAAATGCCAATGTCAAAATATACTTGTGATATAAACCATTCAACTGCGACTTTATATCAGCTGTAGTTGTCATGCAAGTTAACGATATGCATATTCAAAACAAAATATGTTACAAATTATGTTACATTTTTAAATAAACAAAGTAGACATGAGAATGAAAAAAAAATTCTTACCTCATGAGTGCCATGGGAAAAATTCATACGAGCAATATTCATTCCTGCTTTCATCATTTCAACCAACATTTTCACCTCTCGGGATGAAGGTCCTATAGAAATAAATTATAAAATATATTGTATATAATCCAATATGTACCCAATAGAGAATACAACTAATTAGGTTATATTGAAGTTGTGACAAAAATTATGTACATTTTCAAAAGATGATGAATGAAATAAACAGACAGTAGTAAAAGTTAAAAATCCAGTGACCAAAGTAAAAAAAAAAAGAGAGACACTAAAATGAAATGCCAAGAAAATACATTCACTAGACAGCCTTTGTAATTCAATGAAGCCTAACTGACAGAATCAACTTACACAAATGTACAGCACTTTTGTTTTTTAATTCCATTAAATTTAATTTTGCTGACATCAAGTTTTCATATCAAACATTGCAAATTTTCTCCCCCAAAGAACAAAACAATCAAATACTTAACATTTAATTTACTTAGTATTAAATGAATTTTGATGACATTACACAGTAAAGCCACGAGCTTGCACAAGTGAATATAAAATTTACTAAATGCAATGTTCCACTGTACATTTTGGGAGCACTCCATAAAAAAAAATCAAGTTGTACTGAGCAAATAACATTTTCTCTTGAAGTCTCATAGTAATTTTATTTTTAGCACACTCACCAATAGTACAGATGATGCCAGTTAAGCGAGTAAAGGTCGGATGAGAATCAATGTCAAGCGCACTCAGATGATCAAACCTTGTTTCTTCATTAGCAGCATGGAGCTGATGGCCTAGTGCCCTAGGACTCTGAGTAACAGCCATCTGAAAAAAGAATGAATCAATATATCCTGCCTACTAGCACATTTCACTCTTTCACTTGGTCTTGCTTGACACAGATGTAGATCACTGCTCACTCTGCCTGCCCCGTTAAACTATAATATTCACAGCAGTGTTCTGCCTAGATAAATAATGACTTAAGAATTATTGATAGCAATGGAAATGAAAAGTAATTAAAGCATTTTTTTTTGTTTTCTGAAAATACACATGAATCTGTGTTTTATCACAAGGATTACTTCAGCTCTATGAAATTTGAATTCATTTTTTAACAAAAATTACCAATACTAGCTTTTATAGCCATATATTGTACCTGAGGCCCTGTACACAGTCTTAAAACAGTAGTCCCAACCTACTGGTCCACTAAGGAAAACCAGTAAAAAAGAAAAACTGCCAGTTCCCTATGTAGCCCACATGTGTAGTTTGACATCTTCCTTAGATGTTTTTAATGTATTGTTACTAAATAACTAATCTCAGCCAATTTGAAAAATAAAACATCAGCTCTGTGGTACTCACTTTCTGAAACTTTCTACCAAACTCAGATGGAAATTAGGCAAACTTAACTTAGAAACAAGGGACTCTGGTCTTTCAAGGCTGTCTCTGCACACTAACCCTTGGTAAAAGAAATTTCAATACATACTTTACCAATTTCCCTCCTAAACTCCTGCAGAGTGCTGGCCTCCTCTACTGCTAATAGCAGTACAATCATTTAAAAATAATAACATAGAATTACAAGGGAGTTGCATAATGCACGTGTGCTTTCAAAATCCCCACATGTACAGTATGTATTCCAAGAAGTTGTGTTTTAGTTTCCAACATTTACCATGCATATGCATGATACACAGTTCTTGCAAAACTATGATCTATAAATAGTGGAATAACATCATAACAGCTCAATCATTTGAACGAAGTTGTTTCAACTAATTAAGCTAACATTAACATTTTGAATACAACGTTCAATTTAAGCTACTCAATTTTTAACACCTTATAACCTTTGTGTTCTTAAACTTTGTTTTATGTTACTTTAATAACCAGATGGGTAGTATGGGTTAATAATGCTGAATAATTAAATTATATTCTAGCACTTATATTCTTTCTGCAGATTTTTGGCAACAAAACCATAGCTGAACTGTTACTATTTATTAAAGTAAAGTAATATTTTCACTTCCCACTTTTAAACACAATTACATTTTATAATGTTACAATGGATATAATGAATTAGAGAGATCTGGTGATTCTGCTTAAAGTTTGTCGTAAATCTTTTAGTTTTATACATACTATAAATCTCCATGGAAAAACACACCATATTTTTCATGGTTCCCTTTTGGAAAGTTGGTATCATATTTCTAATAATTGTTAAACAAAAAAGGAAATATTAAACATCTCTACAATAAATTTCTCTATGAAATTACTGAGAAAATGTCCTACTTCTCAATTTTACCATCTATACAAAATCAAACTGGGAGTTTCAAGTACCATGTATTACTGCAATTAGCAGTGTAGCTTAATAATGTTCAATCTGTAAATTCTATTTTATCACGAAAATTAATAGTTAAATACATTCTTACACTAATATAAGTAGATCAGAAGTAGAATATGATAAAAAATTAATGATGCTAATTCTGCATGGCCAACTTTTTTGCACCACTTGTATACAAAACTTAAGTCTAAAAACCACAATACGTTAATAATAGTTACATCACCTACTTAATATGTAAACTAATCTTGGAATCACAATCAAATAAATTTACATATATGAACTCTAAACTTCCATACCTCAAAGATAAATTCAACAATTCTCAGAGCTGATTAATCACAATGCAGTTTCTTCCTTTCTCATAAGGGGGCGCCATATACGATATTTTTTTTTACGTAACTAACTCCATGGTTGCCATAGCAACAAATAAAGCAAATTATATAGTGTTTCCTCTTTTCAATAGAAATTTTTTAAAAAAAATACCGTCAAAATCACAAAGAGGATGCATGCAACAAGTTTTCAGAGCGTACATAATCTAAAACCAAGTGCATTTTAAACAAAAGGCTATCAAAATGATTGTCGTATACAAGCACATTCAAATTATCTTCCAAAGCTTAATAAATCTGATCTATGTTACCATGTATGCATTTTGTAAAGCGTTGAAAATCATTCTACATAGGTATTAGCACTTTGGGTAATAAAATAGCTTCACTCTGTTCATTTAAACGGTATTCTCCAGAGCTGCACCGTAGTGCTTCACTCTCTCGAACTCACACACTCGCACAAATCAAACGGACAAAAAGTGAAGCCCGTAGTTTGAAATATGTCTAGTTGTAATAGTTTTCAATTAATTGTCATTAAGAAAACTTTATTTACAACACCGTTAGTTTATACAATTCCTACAGTTGGTAGACTCGTAATAAAGATTGGTCTAATAAATAAAAGTACAATCGCAATCACATTTAAAAAAAAAATTAATTTGATAAATACATGTCAGCCTATAATCTATTATCCTAAAATAAAGAAATCGATTAGAAATAAACATCGTAGATTATTTAATTAATTGTTTTATTTTTTAGGGTGCATTACGTTAACATCTAGCCAAATTCTTCCGCCACACAAAAAATATCTTTGTTTTCAAGAACATGGCTGAATTTGCAACGCTTATAAGATATTTGTCTATAAGAATTTAATGGTTTAACTTTACTATAATGTAACTTCAATTTCAACTTCGTGAATTAGTACGACACAAGCAGGTTAAATTATATTAAGCAATTCTAAACTAGTAAAACGTTAAAGAAATAGTTATAAATCCGAACAGATTAACAAATTACTACCATATCTAAGAAAACCTATACTCTGTATTTTTAATATTAGAAAATTCATTCGAAATAAGTTTTAGAAATAACCCTTCATTTTCTGACGAACAAGTTGCCACGAGGCTCGTAATCATTTCGATCATAAGATCTACAAATGTATTTTATTACTCACAAATTAGAATGGTGAAAAATAAAACTGCTGAAAACTACAGAAAATTTACCTGCGTTTTTCCTTTTTGGCTTGAGCGAAAAACAATATCGTTGCAGCCCAAAATTCCCATACTGAAATTTTTGTTCTAACCGTTTCACCGACTTACTAGGAAAATGACTAAGAACAAAGATGTTTTCTTATCTTTGTGTGGTACCTACGTGCTAGAACTCAGGTAAAAGTAATCTTACAGGTAGAGGGTTTTCAATTCCCCGCCTCTTCCGGTCATGCTCAGCCAACCTTTATCTTCTCGACAAGCGGAACTTTTGAGTGAACGTGACTCATACACTGGGCTTGCCCGAACCGGCTTTTGTAGTCTGAGCTTTGTCTGACACACCTTGGAAATTTCCAGACTTCCATAATCGTGATCCCTTCCCAAATGTACAACCAAACATTTGCTCTAAGTTATAATATAGCTGACTTATAGAAATTAACTTACAGCTATTGAAGAAATATAATGCAAAACTTATATTTCTAAAGTGACAACATCACTGTTTTAACTAACAAAGCCAGAAATGAGATTGATCAGAAAAGACGTTAAAAATTAACTATACACCATTAAGATAAATATTTATTCGATTGAGTTGTTTTATAAAAAACAGATTTCAAAAAGTGCTTCTTAGTGTACAATTTTGCAGGTAACTACGTGTTCTTGCATGTGAATATTATTAACCAGAATGTGAAAATACAGTAAGTGTTATATCTATATTGTTTCACGTTAACTGTGTGCGAAAGAAAGAGTTATTATTAACGCAGTAATGTTACGTTATTGAGAACAGGATGTTAAATTTTCTTGAAAACGTATAAATGGTTCATCTAGCCTCAAATTAAGTAAAATTTGCGGGACTTAGCAGTAAGATTTCCTTCCGGAAGTGTACATTTAATTTCAAACCGTCCACCGTATCCGTAACATGATTAGCTACAACGTTGAGATTTTAGCATTTTCATAATAAACAAGTCGTTTGTTTCCTGATAGCTTTTCCAATGCAGTTCCTCAAATGATTTTAAGACAGTAAAATAATTTCACCGTTAATTTTCTGATCATAAAAAAAATATATTATTTACTATGCCATTAGTATTTAGAATAACAAGTACGGTATGGGTAATTAACTTGTGATCGTATATAGTACATCATTATACAGAGAGAATACTCAATACTGAAATCACTTAACCATTATCATGCTTGCATCTCTTTTTTGTCCTAACCACCAAAGCAGAAGAACTGATAAAACATTTTTTTTTCTCTTTACAATTTGCAGCTTTTACAGTAAGGAAGAATACTTGGTGATCAGTGATCAAACTGTCGTACCTGTTTTAAGAATATCTTTATTGTAAAAGCTGTAACATGTGATTAAACAATACTTATAATCAGGATGTAAACTTACAACAAAGCTGATAATAATACTTTGACATTTACCACTGATAAAAAAATTTAAGTCAAAGCAATTTCAACCATAAAGTAGAAGTTTGACACGGGTTTTTTTTTTTTAATTATTTTGAACAAATGTGTGATTGAGTTCGAAATCCATATACCGGAAACAAAAACAAAATGCCAAGTACTCGTTCATTTGCATACATTTTACAAAACTATACTTGAATGTAATGACATTTTCTATGCTAAATACTCCAACTAGGAATACGTACATGTTATACGGTCAACTCATTAGGCATTGCGTTAACAAAATACTAAGCATATGTCTGAAAAACTAGAGGGAAGAAGGCAACTTGTGCAATTTCTTTATATATTTGTGTAACTGTAATTTTGTCTTGAATATTTAAACCAAGCAAGTCAGAATGTTTTACAGAGTACTCAGGTCTCCGAGTGGCAGATAATCACACTGGTACTTCATAAAAATTATAAACGAAAAAAAAAACTTTTGTCCCTCTACAGTCTACACAATGTACTTAAAAGCAACGCTGTGGTGATTGGAACATTTTATTACTAAACAAGCTTTTCTCGACACCAGATAGAGGTTTAAATTTTAAGTGTTTTACAGAATTGAGGAAAACAAGACAATTGTACGTTTCACAATTACATAATTTATTACTTACAATTGTCTTGTTTTTCCTCAATTCTGTAGCTATGGAGTTTCTCCAAGTAATGACGTTTTCAAGTATCAATTATATTAAGTGTTTTATACTACACACATACAGAATTAAAAATCTTTTTTAAAAAGTTTTCCTATTCACACCTATCATTTATACTATGCACGAAATAGACACACATCCACCAACCAATCAGTGCAACCTCAGATTTCAATAATAGCGTTGAAAATGAAAATGAATCTATATTGAAAACATTATTTCGCTTATAACTTAACACGGTTACGAATATCAAATAATTGTGAAGTATAATCGCGCCTGCATCGTTTCGTGTAACAAAGTTTCAATGAACCAATATAAAACAACACAAGTACAACTAATCAGTTAGTCCTTCAGAGCTGTCCTTGCGATCAACCCTTGAGAAAATGTTAACCTATTCTTACTGTTTCAAGAAATTATCGATTTCTCTTGAAGTTCCTGTTACGTACTGGTCTCCACCACTACCGACTGCAACTTATTCCGGAAGCCGACTACCGTTAGAAAAATAAAACTGTCTGAACTGAAACTCAGCATGTTTTTATGTCTTTTCCAAACTTTAAATAATACCTCCCTCCCTCTCTACTATATATATATATACACACACACACACACACACTTATCATACTGCGTATGCGTTCGAAAATACTATTTTTATTATAGATGTACGTACCAATATATGATCGCAACAGCAAAATTGTAACAAAGCAATGCAAAATCATGCCATTGTGAGAAGTTATATATAATTTCTCCCTTCAGACGCGGGCACATAATCATTACATTTATCATATTATTATACACTTTTTCTATTAATATTAACAACTTACACTTCCTTATATTTTAAGCAATCGTCTTAGCTAACCTTGAACTACCGAATCACAATGCATTATGTAACAAATTGATTGTACAACGAGTTTATTCGATACTAGCTAATCCATAGTATTGTTATAACTAACTGTAAACATGTCACATCGGCCAATGTTGAGATGCAGTCTATAAATACTTAACCGCTAAGTTATAAACGGAGCTAGAAGCAGTAGAGGAAGTTAGTAGTACATGTTGCTATCCCTTCTGGCCGAACTACCACGTATATTATAATCTACTGGTGCCTAACTGGATTCGCCGCTCATCATGAGTGTTGACGTCCCTTTTTCTGGAGTTATGAATTGCTTTGTTTGAGTACTTCGTCTCTTCCTGAAGATCTCCTACGATTTACGTATTTATGGTTATTGAGCTAAGAGAGAGCATTGTTGACGACTTAGTCGTACATGTGGAACAAGTTTATCACGAAATATAAATAAGTTGGTTCATTAATGTGTAATATTTGAACACAATACCTGGTGGATGTGATTAGCACTTATCTTTTGCACGTGTTAATATCTATGCACACTTCTGTATTTCAATGATTAACTGTACAGATGATGAAATTTAAGGTTGCTCATAACCTCGAACCCCCTAGCATTCACTTAAATAAAAATTAGAATGCCAACTTGTCACCATACAAATTTACCGTATATATAAATGAGAAGCTAGCTACACATTATAGTTATATATACCCCTGGAATATATAAACATGACGCCACAATTTTAAACAACGTTTTCGTAACAACTTCAAAAAGGTCAATGACATAAAAACTATAACGCTTCCCACATTACGCGAAGAGAATTTATTTGGTGACGTTTGCGAATTACATGGATTCATTAAAACTTTATGCAGCAAGTTTTTTGTTTTTGTTTTTTGTACAAGTACGGTATAGTATGACAAGATGAACATTTTACATTAGTTTCCGTACACTCGTCAGAAGGCGCTTTTAATACCGATTTCTCAAATTAGGATGCACTTGGATGAGGATTTTGAAGAGGGGCAGAATGTGAAAAACCATGGCGAATGAGCGATAAACTATATTTCTAGCAGTTACTAAAACTCGCATTTTTTTTTAAATAGTTTACAATATCATTGGCTACTTTATAAATTATAGCTATTTTCCAAAGTTTAGGCTACTGCTATTGGTTTTAACAAAGGTTCACAAATGCAAATTAAACATTATATTAAGACCTAATTAATAAACAATATTATTCAAATAAAACCTCAATATTGTTACATAAGCTTGACTTAGCGTATATAATAGTCAATATCTTCGTGCCCAAGTTAAAAGCTTTGTAGCATAGATTTAGCTATAAAATCTCAAAAGTAAAATAGTTCAGTACGTCCTCACTACGAGGCGTTTCCAACAAAAATACGATACTGATTTTCAAGGCAGTGTATTTTTAACTTTCAAATCGAGATTCAGTTAATTTGGTAACTCGTATTCTAAAACATTACGCTTTTATATTTTAGCTAGCTAACTGAATCAATTCAAAAGCCCTCTAAAGTTAGTTTCATTTTCAATTGACAAAGAATTAAAAAAAAATGCATGTACATATAACACAAAAAGTAATAGTATAGAACTCACATCTGTACCTCATAAAAATGGTTCAAATACACATCTCATAATTTATATTATCGTTATAATATAAATACATCATTCATACAATTCCCACTGTAGCGCAAAATTAAACTGTTTTTGAATGACACTCTAGAAACCTACCGGTAACGGTTACCTAAAACACAGATTTTTTTCAAGATTAACGTGAACATTTCATATTAAGTTCATATACCAGATAGCCACAAACGAAACTCTGGCTCTACCAGCTTTTACAAAACTTTAAAACCATTAGCACACTGTAACATGAAAAAAAATAAAATAAATAAAACAGGAACACTGTGATTGAATTGCTGCTAATGTTATTATATATTTGTGCTTCATGTAAAATATTTTTTATTAAATTAATTAGTTTTATAGCTAATTCGTGTATTATGTTTAAAAAGTTCACCTTATGCCCAAGATAAAGCTCAAAATATTCTGTAAAAATGACAAATTATAACTGATTTTTTTTTTAATTTGTCATTATTAATATTAGCATTAGCGTGCCAATGGTAATTTTAAAATTATTCTAGAAAACTTAGATCAACAGTTATTAGTACTTTCACCAAATACCGATATGAAATACACATCATGAGCCTCAATTACTAAAGGTTGATTTCTGACATTACTAACAAAAATAACTTATTTGAGCATGTATAGCCTATGCTAGACTATCGTGGTACTGTTAAATACCGCTAATTACAACAAACCAACAGTCTGAATGAGTGAATCGTGAATAGCTTATTTAACTAACAAAAAACAAAATATGACTTGAATACACTGAATAAAATAATAGCCCTTGATAATATTATAATAATAAGTGTCAGAACAATATTTATTAACTATTTCGTATTTCCAAGTTTTTCTATGCCAAACATCTGGTAAAAATTGTCTAACTCTAAATTATCTCTAGTTCACAACTTTACATTAGACTTAAATTTCAACAACTTACAAGTAGTAGTACTCGGATTTTCACATTACATTCTAAATTCTAAACTACTGTACCTTTAAAATCGACGAGCTCTCAGCTGGAGAATTTGATACCCTTAACCGACTAAGAGAAGAATAACTCGCCGGTTCGTCAAGCAGATAGTTCTTGAAATGACCTTGCGGCATTAGCTACTGCGGTATCCCTAAAGATGGCGCTTTATGCATATGCCAGTTGTGTTTTTTTGTTGTTTTTTTTTCGATAATGTTTGAAGCTGTTGATACATACTAACATATATATATATATATTATGATTTCACAATTTTCGAATTTTCAAAAGTTATATACGTAGACACCTAAATAAATCTATGCACAGCCGTTACATAACCTTTCAAGAATATTTCACTGGCATTGCTTAATTTGTGAATGAATAAGACGCATCCATACAGGGTCAATATTTACAACTTAAACACCTCCAGGAAAGTCCCTCGGTTGGATAGTGGTAAATCTACGTACTTCCAACACTAAAATCCGGGATTCGATTCTCCGCGGTCAATGTGACTTTGTTTTGAAATAAACAAACAAACCTCCCAGAAAAAAACTAACTAAAAATTAATGCATCATTTCTCTTCTTAAAAACATACTTTATGGTATCAAATATCTTTCTTTTCAAATATGGTAATTACTGCTTTAATACTTTTTTGTATTATTACTCACTCAGATAAAATTATTATAACCCTAATATTATAACCTTCTTATCAATTCTACAGTTGATACACGAAAGATTACAGCACTTTCCCACTCCACATAGCATTCTTTGGATATTTACAAATTACACAGGCCTGCGATGATTTTATTGTCATGAGATGTTTACATGTTCTACAGTAATTCCTGTACGCTGAATCCGAAAATTATATCCATTTTTTCTCCATCATGTACAGATTTTCCACAAAACGTCATAACGCAATCCATAAAAAAAAGGCCACAACACGTAGTTTTGAGACTAAAAGACGTAGATTTTACAACAAAAAAAATCAGGATGAATGAGTATGTATATTCGTTTGACATCAATGTTCTTCTCTTTTCTTCAGTTTGTATATATATATATATATTTGTTAACAAACATAATAATAATAATAAATGTTCATAGTGGTAAACGAAATAATAATTTGATCTAAGTAAGAGTTTTTTTTTCTTCCCGATTTGTAAAAAAATGCTTACGTGGTAGAAAAAAAAATCAATATTATTTTTGAAATCTGCGTAGATGAATTATGGAAAATC